CAGATCAGTCAGAATGATTGCAAGGAACTGGGAAAGAGGGCAGAGCACTATCTCTTTTTATATTGCCATAAGTGAAGCGGAAAAAATTAGAGGTCTACCCCACGTATAGTACTAGAGTATTTATTAGAAACAAGTCTTGTCATACATGTAGGCATATCCACAGTGTCAGTGTGTAGCTCATCTCAAAGAATAAGTGTTAAGGGAATATAACTTGTTTTTCTAATTTAAGAGGGATGCTTTAACAAAATGAACTGCCTGGCTGTCCAGGTGAACCTATGTATGTTCATTGGTCAAGAACTCTTAACAAAATTCTCTTTGTATCAGTGTCTTCATGAAAGTTGTCCCCTTAAGCAGCTAACCAGTTTGAAGTAGCCACTTTGTATACCTTTACTAAAAGCTATGCTGTTGCATAAACATTCAGGAATGATGATGAACTTGGTAAAGAAAAAGCAGAAATCAAAACCAGCTGTTGTGTCCAGATTACCTGTAAGCATGGAAGCACTGCTGATTGGGAACAAACATAATGTCACTCATTCAAAGACAAGGTCAATATTGTCATATTGAGTTATTAGAGATGGGTTAGCCACACTTCTGTTTCCTTCTGTTAGTGTCTGATTGCTTGCTGTTCTGCAACTTGGAAGAGGGAACCACAATGTTTAAGACATGCATGCTGAGTGAGGGAAGAAGAATATGACCATTCTGCATTGTGCAAAAGATTCTTAAGCTCAAGTATTTGCAAGATGTGCATGTTCAGTGTGAATTCACCTGTAGGTAATCCAAGTTCAGTTGTTATTAAATAACTTCCTTTCTTGTCTTGCATCTCATAACATGAAAGTATTAATAATGTGGATTCCAGAATTTGGACTCATGTTATAAAATTGAATGAAATGTAAATTTGGGGGGGGGAACACAAAATGGGGTTTGGTTGTGGTTTTTGAAATTCAGGGGCAGGGGGGGCTGCATACTCAATTTGTGAGTGAAACGTGATTTCACAAATGAATGGTGAAATACAACTTACAGTGACTTTTTGTCACAGAAGCACGGAATGGTGGAGGTTGAAAGGGACCTCTGGAGGTCACCTGGTCCAACCCCCTTTGCTCAAACATAGTCACCTAGGGCCAGTTTCCCCATGACCATGTCCAGAAGCCTTTTCAGTATCTCCAAGGAGGGACACTCCACCACCTCTGTGGGCAACCTATGCCAGTGCTTAGTCACCCTCACAGTAAAAAAGTGTTTCCTGATGTTCAGAGGGAACCTCCTGTGTTTCAGTTTGTGCCCATTGCCTCTGGTCCTGTCACTGGGCACCACTGAAAAGAGCCTGGCTCCCCCTCTTTGCACCCTCCCTTCAGCTATTTGTACACTTTGATGAGATCCCCCTGAGCCTTCCCTTCTCCAGGTGGAACAGTCCCAGCTCTATTAGCCTTTCCTCATATGCTTCAGTCCCTTAATCTTCTTAGTGGCCCTTTGCTGGACTTTCCAGTACGTCCAGATTTCTCTTGTACTGGGGAGACCAGAATGGGACAAAAAAGGAAACTGTTAATGGAGGTAACATTCTTTGAAAATGGTTTTAAACTCACATGTAATGCATCATTGTGGTTTAACCCCAGCCAGCAACTAAGCACCACGCAGGCGCGCGCTCACTCACTTCCCCCCCACCCAGTGGGATGAGGGAGGGAACTAGGGGAAAAAAAGTAAAACTTGCGGGTTGATATAAGAACAATTTAATAGAACAGAAAAGAAGAAACTAATAATGATAATAGTAACACTAATAAAATGACAATAGTAATAATAAAAGAATTGGAATATACAAGTGATGCACAAAGCAATTTCTCACCACCTGCCGATCGACACCCAGTTAGTCCCCAAGTGGTGATCCCCCGCCTCCACTTCCCCTGGTTTATATACTAGATGTGACGTCCCATGGTATGGAATACCCCGTTGGCCAGTTTGGGTCAGTTGTCCTGGCTGTGTCCCCTCCCAGCTTCTCATGCCCCTCCAGCCTTCTTGCTGGCTGGGCATGAGAAGCTGAAAAATGCTTGTCTTTAGACTAAATGTTACTTAGCAACAACTGAAAACTTCAGTGTGTTATCAACATTCTTCTCATACCTAGCTCGGAAACATAGCACTGTACCAGCTCCTAGGAAGACAATTAACTCTATCCCAGATGAAACCAGGACATGCATAATAGTAAAGACTATTAGTGACTGCCTGTAAGAGGCATATTTAGCAATGATAAATTTACATAAGTGCTCCTAGCAAAACTTAAGCCTATAAAAATTGTGTTCTATAAGTAACAGATAGATGTAGTTGTTGGGGCTTGTAATTTAACAAAACACGACATAAACAGAGGTGTCTAACAAAGAAGTACCCAGATTTTGTCACTTCAACTGTCTGAAGTCAGGACTTCCTACAGCATCTTATGAAGGCAAATCTGTGTCAGTTTGTACTCAAGTCAGTATTCTTTGCTTTCAGACAGTTGGCTTTATTAATGTTCTGTGGAGTGCTGTAGTCCTCTGAGCTTTTTTTGTGTGGTTAAATAAGAAACTATAAATAGTTGGTATAGGTGTGTTTTTTCTTTATGGTCACCCTGTAACAGTCATAAGCTGGTTCCAACAGGGCTTCTGGAATATGATGCTAGTGTATGTAATGACAAATCAATGTTGATTATGAAGAAAGTGCTCAGTGGGTCCATTTTTTTTTTTCCTTGCCTAATCCTGAGTTCCAGTTTACTAAATTTCTTGCTAAGAACTCTGCTTGTGATAATCATCTGCTTTCTTCTTCTTGGCTCTGTTCAGCCTTGAATTTCAGCAGTAGACCACTTACAAACTGAAAAGGAAGCAAGAGCTAAAGGATACAAGTATTTACTTATGCGGAATAGAAGGTGGGGTTTTTATAAACCTCATTACAAACATATCCCAGAGTGTTTTCAATTTATAAGTGCCTGTTTGTGACTTATGGTATGAGTTTTTCATATTAAAATGTAATTATAAGAAATTATTTTAGATGATACAAGTTTTTAAACCTCCAAAATTATTTTCAGGGTTTTAAACACTAAATTTTGTAAGGAACAAAAAAATACCTCAGTATTGAATTTAAGAAAGAAATAAAACTAATTTTCTAATATTGCTTCAGAAATTCCATCTTTCATATTAAAAGCTAACATCATTGTAAAAGGTAAAAAGTAAACATAATAAAAAAATCAGAACCACCAATTATGTATAGTAAAGATTGTAATTGTTCTTCAAAAGAGCTGCTACTGATAATTCTGCATGTTTTGAAATGTTTTTAGTGGGCCTTCTCACCAGCAAAAGGTACCTGAGATCATAAGGGTTCTGCTGTACCACTGTACATGTTCGTATACAACTCCCCAGTATGTTTCTTGTCACTGTAGTATATTGTAGCATAGCTTTACTACACAATGTGGAGACAAAAAAGGCATAATTTTGTGGATTATTTGCTGAATTTGCAGCTAACTAAACAATAATAGTTTTCATCCATTTCTTTTGATATATTAGCATTATAAATTGTTTTAATAAGTCTCAGCTTGGCTGCATTATCTTTACTCTTTGGAGAGGTCGCAAGTGAGGAACAGTTCCATTTTGTATTTTTTACTCCCTTTCCTTTTCCTTCTTCTCCTTCTTCCCTCCTCCCTCCCAGCTGAAGGAAAAATGAACAGAGGGAATATGAATAGCTTTAGATTGGCTGATGCCAGGTTGGAGGTCTAGGAATTTCTGATTTTTGTTTTTGCTTTTTATCACACTATTTTTCTTCTAGATAACAGGTACTGGAAAAGATAATCAAAGAGAAACAATAGTTGTGTCAAAAGAAAGTGGAATAATGAAAAGCTTATTATTTTATGGTTTTGTCTCAGAAGTTAATATTTCAAGTTAATATTTGAACAAAATGAGGCTTATAACTATTTTGAACTCAGAATTTTACCCCCCAAAACCAGTCACAGTATATGTATTTTAATAAACACAGTTTAATAATATGCTGTTGGACTGTTTAATTTTTATGCCTCAGGGTAGCACTGAGCATTATTTATAGTTTTAGAAGATTCCTCTCATTAGTGTAGTACATTCTCTTATATAGCACCTGTTTTAAACTCCAAATCTTAATCTACAAATGTAAAACCTGACTTTTGAAATATTTGCTTTTTTGAACACTCTTCTTTAAAGGACCTATCAGGATCTCTCCCCAAAATGCTAGAAGCTTGAAGGATAAGGGAGGAACAATGTTGCATGGCCCAAACACATGTGCTTTCGTCATTAGCAAGGTACAGCATGACCTCATGTTGACCTCAAAGGTAAATCGCTAACAGGGAACAATTATACATGCCTGTGAAAGCAGCTTAGTTTTGAACATAATCAAGACAATAACTTCAGTGTGTAGAATAAAATTAAATTTACAACTCTGTCTGTCTGCCTTTCTCTTTCTCTCTCTTGTCTCTCTCCAAGTCTCCTCTTGAGAGAATGTTGTGTTTTTTATATATGTGTGTGTTGCAAAATAAAATTACTTTTCTAGAGGTCATAATAAATTCCTAAATACGGGGAACTCAAAGGATCTTGTATCCAGTTTAGTCAAATTGTACATCTTACAATGAAATTGTCTTTTTAGTGGAAAGGTTTCATTTGTTGTCTAGAGTATGATATTGCAGCCTTCAGAATGTGTGTCTATATTACCTTGGGGAATCATGTGTAGTTCTGAAATGTATAGATCATTTAGAGTTATGGGAAGGATTTTAAATATCAATATGTTAATTTTTGTGTGCTTATCTTAGACTGCCACACAAACCTATGACATTTTTTTGTAGAAGACTGTAAATATTCTGTAGCGTTATGTGATACATCTCTACATATGATGGAATATGATTAGCTAGCAGTTCTGAGCTATTTGGAGAAGAATTGCTGCCAGCATCTTGGAACTGTTAGCCATATCTGTCCCACATGATTTGTATAATATAATTGTTTGACATGAATTTTATTTTCTTTTTTTGCTAGAATGAGAGAGCATATTCCTTCTGTGGAACCATAGAGTACATGGCTCCAGATATTGTAAGAGGAGGAGATACAGGACATGATAAGGTATGTTCTATCTAAGTTTATTACTGAAAAGAAATTAATTCTTTAGGCAACACTGTTGTTCAGCTTGAGGGGTTTTTGTAAAATGTGATAGTGTCTTATTTAAACATGCCTTATTTTAGGTTGTCCTAAAATAGGTTATTGCCTATATTTAAAAACATCAATGTGATGAATTTTAGTTTTTAATCTTAAGTAAAAGGCATAGTTATAAAGGTACTGAGGCTCATTTGTGTTCTATTCAAAATTTGTTCTAAACGTGCAGTGGGACAAAAAAAACCTTAGCTGACACTTCCTTTTAAATAAAAAACTAGTACAGATTGGAAAAATTACTGTTGTGTGGCTAATCCTGGTGCATTTTTTTAAATTGTAGATCAGGGAAATCTATTCTTGTTCTTGAAGTATGAAGTGGGTTATTAATGTTACTAATGTTATAAATGTTCTCCGATTGTAGAAATAAATTCTGTTTAGCTTAAGGCTCAAGTTTTATTCTGAATTCAAGTGTCAGTAGTTGATGGGAAAGATCAAGACAACCATAATTCATAGATGATATTTGAAACCAAAAAAACCCTACTCCCCAAAAGAATTCTACGACTATTCCTAGATAAATTGTTCTGATTGCTCATTATACTGAGAAGTTTTGGAGAATATTTAATCTCTGGGGTTTTTTTGCTGTAGATTTGACTTGACTTGTCTTTCTATTGGGGATCACGGAATATAGTTGATCACAGTTCCTCTTAAAAGAGCCTTTTTAAGCACTTTAAGTGACTTTTTATGTCACTCTCCATCTCCTTTTTCTAGACTAACTGGACTCAGTCTGACTTTTGCCTAGGAAGATTCTTTTTTCTCCTTCTCTATGCATTCTGCTTCTCTTTTGGTCTGAGTTTGCCTGTATATTTCTTGAGGTAGGGAGCACTGTAGTGGGCGCAGTGTTTCAGCTAAGAGTTGGCAGTTTGAAGTACAGCAGAGTGATTACATCCCTGATTCTTCTATTAAACATAGAATAGAATGTGCTTTGTCTTTTCACTTAGTCATTGTCTCACACCTACTTTGTATTCCACTATAACCTCTGCATCTTTTTCTACTGTACTTCTTGCCTAGTCATTATTAAAAATGGAATTTTACAAACTTAGGAGTAGCAGCTCTTTCCTGCACTCTATTTCTTAGTTTAGTCTTGCCAGTTTCAGAGCATATCTCCAATGTGGCAGTCGCTTTAAATTGTGATTCTGTCTTCTCAAGTGCTTAGAAATTCAATATTGTTGCTGATTTAAAGAGGAATCTCTGTTCTGTTCCCTTCAATTGGTTCTAATACTTGCATTAGATATACTGCAGAGCCATACGGTATTCTGTAAGAAATAGCTTCACAGTTTGATACTAAGTGTTAGCTGATAAATAAGGCTGTTTTGCAGTTAAACTACGTGATGGTAATTGGTTACACCACACACTGTTTGCTTCACCATTGGCAATGTCATGTGATGCAGTGGTAGGAGGTTTTTAGGGTATTTTATACTTGCTGCATATCTAGCAACTCAAAGATCTTATTTAAAAAAAAAGAGGAAATGAGACTGCTTTAGTATGCTATGCTGTCATTAGTCAATGTTTCTGATTTGTAATCTCTTCTAGATGGCTGTATTGTTTGTCTAAAAGACTTGCTCTAGTATTTCAGGTTTTTTTTTTTAAAGTTTGATTTCTGATTCTGCAGATGCTCCTTTTCTTTTGGAAAAACATATGCCAAGAAAAAATTATTCTTTGGGATTTTCTCTGATCATTGTGTATTTGCAAAGATAATTGCTAACAGTACAGAGAATTCTTCAGCTAGTTCTTCTAGACAGTCCTGGCTGAATATATGAAACATCAGATTTTGTGTATCCTGAAGCAAAAAACCTAAAACATGAGGCCAAATTGTCATAATTTCACTAATTGTCTTCCGTTACTGTATTAATGTTGTCAATACAAGTAAAGCAGAACTTCAGTTTCATTGCTTTGCAAATTTCATGGAAATAAAACTGGGAAGTTCAAACACCTGTAGTTAAATTTTGTTGAAATGACTAAACTACTTCCTTTATTATTCATAGTAGCATCTTTTCTTTTGAAAGAGAGAAATATTTTATAAGTTATGAGGTATCAGAGATATGAATGATATGATTAGTATATGGAAAGCCAAATATCACATGTGTTCCCAGGAAATATAAGATAAAATTCTATAACATTTTCAGGTGCCCGGATTAACTGTGACCTGTGCTCTTAAACTGTGCTTTTTGAAAGTTCCTTAGTTTCATTCTCAAGATCCTAAAAGCTGAGGTTCCACTACTTCTTAGCAAGTCTTACGTTCCTCTGTTATTTCAAGTATGTTTTAGAATTCTTATCGCTTCACAATGGTAAAAATAAAAATGAATTCTTGAAGGGGGGAGCAACTTTAGTGGTGGAAAGAGTTCAGCTTGAGAAATCAGTTGAAGAAGCTAAGTGGAGAAATTTCAAAATAAAATTAATTTATCATAGAAAATACCTCCAACCAGTTCTGCAATTGTTTATGCTTTATTGTACGCTGGTTTGCCTTTGTATTGATAGGTGGGCTCTTCCTTTGCTAGTTGCTTTCTGGGTGCATTGTTTTGTTCCTTCTTTTGTTAATGATTTTACTTCAGTGTATCATAACATACATAATTATTGTTGTTCTATAGGCTGTTGATTGGTGGAGTGTTGGTGTTCTTATGTATGAACTATTAACTGGAGCATCACCATTTACAGTTGATGGAGAGAAGAATTCCCAAGCAGAGATTTCTAGGTAAGAGTCAAAACAGTGAAGTATATGTGCTTGCTGACAAAGTGATGCTTATGCCATAACACATGTTTTGTGAGAGTTTTAATCTAAAACTTAGGAAGAAAGTGCTGCAGGGGTAACATTTTAGGTGCTCCAGTTCTGTTTAACAGAATGACATCTGGAAGCAGATAGGTTTATTAAACTCAGCAGGTTATCGAAATAACAGAACTGACCTTTACAAAAGACCCGTTTTGTTTTAACTACAGTGGAACCACAGCTTTGTAGATATTCAACCCTGTTGCATGTTTACTGTTTAAAAGGAAGTAAAATAAAATATGAAATTATATGTAAATAGAACTATAACATTCAAAATCTTAATACATAATGAAACATATACTTAGCTAGAGAGATTTTTGTCAGCTCTTGCTGGATCACTCCATCAGACTAGAGGTTTAAAGTGTCAGGATGTACACCCACTCCCACCTTTTTGTCACAGGTAATATTTATTTTATTGGTGTATAACGTGAAACAACATGATCTTTTCTAGCCATACTTGCATATCTGAGAAGAAATGAATATGATACTTATGGAAATGAAATAACCTATACCATTCTTATATTTTACATGTAAACTTTTCCTCACTATCAACTTTGTTATGTTCAGTAATCTCTACACTTTAAAGGTTTGTTTTCAATACCTATGTAAAAGCATTGGAGCATTTTAAAAAGACAAAGCAATAAGCTTGCCCAAAACACATTCCTGAAATCTCCCCCCAAAATGAGCATCTCCTATTACTGTATTTCTCTTGGAGTGGGGAGTTGAGGGCTTAAATTGCACAAATTAGTTAACTGCTGTCAAGATCAGCTTGTAAGTACAGTCCCCAAACTAAGAATAGTCTTGCTCCAATTGGAATGTATTACCATGGTTCTGATCCTCACCTGAAGTCACTTGATATTTAATGTTATAATGGGCAATAGAACATACATCAATTATTTAGATAATTTCTTTTACTTCTGTTATATATTCAGGCAATTTCTTGGAAGGTTGAGACCTGTTTATTGGTTTCTAGGTCTCTAGCACAGGGAACTTAAAGGGCCACTAGAAAAAAAATACACGGGGGAAGGGAATCCATTAACAAAACAAAATTCAGGACTTCACCCTCTTGGTCATTATGATGGAGTTAAAACTTAAATTAACTCTTTCTGACCTATTTAAGGTTAGAAATTTTGTTGATTGCTTACTTACGCCATGACTGAATTGGTAATTTTGACTCCCAAGATGTACTAAATGGAATTCTGAAGGAGTTACACATTTTTTAGAGAGAACTTTGACCTGAATTTTACAGAGAGAGTTTTTTCCAAAAACTGGGAAACTTTTTAGATATGTATTCTACAGAATTTGACTATCTTTTGGTAGGTCCTTATGTGCTCCTTAGTCTTAGTCTTTCTGATAATTTAAGATTAAATTCAAAGCTGAGAAACTGCAAGGTTGCTAACATCCATCCTCTGATAGCTAATAACCTAATTTCTGAGCTCAATTTAGTTGTGGCAAGTTTACTATGTTGTTGCTCAGTCTGCTTTTGTTCTGGTTGGTGTTCATGTACACATTTATAGACAGCAATCCTGTAGTCTTTCAGCTTTTATTTTGATAAATTTAGAAGGTAAATTCTTAGTTTTCTTTATTTAAAGATGTTCCCCAGTCATCTTGTTTCCTGAAAAAGCCTTTTCTTAACTCAGCTTGTGTTGTTCTTTCTTACATATTGACAGTTTACTTCTGTTGATGTTTCAAAAGGATCTTGTTCAAGGGAAGTAATAATTCATCATCTGCACAAAAAGATATTATTTCCTTTTTTCTTGGGCTCCTCTTGTTGATGCCAATGGTGGACTGATAGATCTAATTCCTTCTACTTTTCTATCTCTTTGAATGGATAAACCTCTAGTTTATAGCTGAAATCTTATTAGTCCTAACTATGTGACTGCATTTCAGACTCGATTTCATCTGTCTCCTGTTACTTCAGTACTCATAAGACCCATGGTTTCTGAACCCTTTCCATTGATAGCAATTTCTGTGCTGGATGACATTTGTTTTGTTGTTGCAGTTTATTATGTAATGAATGTTATGTTCCTTTTAAAAGCGTGTCTGAGCATATGAGAACATTGCTGTTTTCTCTGTCCTGGCTGTTGCGCTAAGTCATGTGGAACCTTCTGGGGAATGGTGGTTGCTGCGTACCTTGGGGAGCAATGGGAGTGTGTTTGGGGCTTTCTGTGAGGGTAGGGTAGGGCAGGTGGAACGGATGTGAGGTAGCAGCAGCCCAGACAGAGGGTGAGAAGAGAAGGGAGCAGAAGTACATCTTAGAGAAGGTGGAAAGAAAACCTTTTTCTAAGGATTAAAGGGGACTGTGTAGGGTTTGCTGCAACTTGGGAAGCTGTGAGACCATGCCTGAAAGAAATGCCTTCCCAACATGCTGGCTTGTTAAATTTAGAAATATTCATGGCTTTTCAGAAATGCCCTCCTTGTATTTATCTCTAGTGTGAGTACCCTGAGCTCTTTCAAGAAATAACAGCTGAATTTTCAGTACCTGTCTTTATCCTAAGTCTGTCTGGCCTAGAAGTTAGGATGTTTATTTCCTTTTTTCTTTGATAATTTTATCACTGAGGATATGTTCGCAGTTTACACTTAAATGTCCTTTCTTTTTTTTTGGTTGTTAATTCTTTTAATTATGTCTGCAGCCCATTCTATAAAGTTATCTGTTGAATTGGGATGCAGACTCTAGATAAATTTTACACCTATAATTAAATAGGTTCCAAATTATCTCCGTGTCTTTGATCTTTTTAGTTTCGTTACCTCTCTAAACTGATGAAAACCGGAATTGCAGATAACTTCGTCAGCTATTTACAGTTGCCAGTGGTAATGAAGTCACTAGCGCTGGCACAGAGATATGAGTTGGTACGAACTTCTTTTTGATGGCAAAGTTATTCTAAACAGAATTTGTATTCCCTAACCTAAATATGCTTTAACTTGCCAATTGCAGCAGACTTAAGAGAATTCAGTTTTTTCTTACTTGGTCACAAGCACTGAAAGCATAGTTTCCATGGCCTTTGATTTTTATGAGTTTAAGGAAAAAAGTTGTCTTCTAAATAAATCCAGGTCCTTCTATTTTATGTAGGTTGGTAGTAATCTTAGATATCTTTAGATAATTTTATTCCCTTGTGTGGGACAATGGCTATCTGCTGTTAAATTTGAGCACAAAGTTTTGTTCTGAAATCTCTCTCTAATCGACAGTTCAGTTCTTCTGTCAGAAATAATTACTGTGTGGTTTATATTTTTTTACTCTTTCTGGTGAGAGATTGTGTTCAGTTCTTCTGTCATAACCTTTTTGACAACACTGGACTTCTCTTTCATGGCAAGTGCAACTTAAGTAAGGGCATACTTTAATTTCCCCTATGTCTCTGTCTCTGAAGACTCTTTGTTCACATACTAGGTGTTACAGGTTATTAAACTTGATAAAAAAAATTCACAGAACTATTCAAGTATCTCTCCTTTTCCAGTATGTCCTCTCCCCTTTCTTCTCCCTTCTTCCCAAATCTTCCTTTCACTTTTGAGAATTCTGGACTTCCATTGCTGCAGAGCCGTGGATAGGACCTATCCTGTAAAAAGCATAGGCAAGGGCTGGGTTTGATTACAAACCCAGTATTTTCAATTTGAGCATGAGTGATTTGTAGTGCTGACTTGAAAGACAGATAAATCCATTTCAGGGTGTTGACTTTGAGGGTCTTGTCATACATACAGGGATTTAAAATGAGCATGAAGTTTTTGGAGTATTACTTTGCTGCTGTGCAGCAGCTTAGAAAATCTTAGCAGCTTTGGGTTTATGAATAGATAGATACCTATCTTTTTCCATTTTTATACGTATATACGTATATAAAACAATCTGTAGAAACATATGATGCTATATTAGCATACTAATGCTAATAGCAGCCTGTGCTCTTTATTTGACATAGTTGGTAAGACTTTATTTAAACTTCATGGAGGATGGCTGAAATTTGACCATCTGTTAGATGCTATATTTTGTCCACGATTCTGCAAGAAACCTTTTCTTGATAAAATTGTTGGGAAGATGCATAGCAGGTGTATACTGGGATTCCCGTCTTCATTCTCTGCCTATGAAGACTCCAGTGATTGCTACATCTTTTAAAGGACAGAGCAGTCACTAAATACAACTTGTAATTTGCATGGTGTCTTCTGGAATTTTGTCCTAGAGCTCATAGCTCTACCTAAAATGTACAGCATTTATATGCTAGACTTAGTGTGAATCACATCACATCAGTGACTCTGACTACAGATCAGTTCAACCTTTCAGTAAAGCAGATGGTTTTAAGAAAGTCATAAGTATTGCATCAAAGTCTCTGACTTGCCTAGAACTGGGGATACGCATATAGATCTGACTGCTCAAAGCAGAATCTGGCATTAGTAGTTCTGAGATGACAGGGCATTTGGTAGAGTCATTCTCAAATGTGATGGTGAAAACTCTGCTTTGGAAACTTGTCCCTCTACCCTTTAACAGGGTTACAGCTTGGGATTGCTTTCTTGTATTCCCTGAACATCAGGGTAGATATGTATCTTTTTGGTGAGGGGACTGACAATAGACTATAGTAACAGTTCTAGCATAAACCTAATGTTTCTGTTGGTCAGCTATAGTGATCCTTATGTGCCTTAGTGCCAACTACGAGCTGGCATAGATCAATGGTGGCAACTCTGTAAATTTTTTTATAACAAAATCAGTGAGTTCCTTGGCTGATTTGTCAGGCTTAGCAGCCTGCATCTGTTACACAGGAGTGACTCTGAAGATAAAGAGGAGGAGCACCTAAAGGTCAAGGTGTCATTTCTCTATTGTATCCTCCACTCACTGAAGATAAAGCATCTCCTTCTCATCCTTATCATTCATTAGCCTGTCCTTTGCATTATCAAGTATGCTCTTGGTCTGTAGTATTTATGGGAGAAACTCATCAGAGTTTCAGTTCCTGAGAAACAGTACCAATGAGGTTAGCTCTTAGCTCTGCATAGTCTGCCATAGAGAAGGGTAAGATGGAAATGATCCAGGACTTCAAAGTGATAACCTCCTTGACCTATGCAAGGGATGGTTTCTCTCAGAGTGTTTTCAGTACAGCCAGAGTACTCTCATCAGCAGGAGTAATCTCAGCGCATCCCAGATCAGAGGGCTTGTACTAGACTAGGAGAAGCAGAAAATACAGCATAGTTGTCCTTCAGCAGCTTTGACCACAGTTGCCACTTAGGATACTTAATTCTTCCTGCTTACTTTTGTCGCTGTTATTGGACCACATGAACAAGAAACATACAAGAGGGTGGAGGCGATTCAGAAAAGGAAAGGAAGGTTGATGCTAAAGGCCATAGCTTCTTTTCAGAAGCACAGGCATCCCAGGAAGGACTTCTGACACATGCAGCTTCCTTCCTCTGAGCTCTTCATGGGCTACTGTTACAGCCATGAGTGACTTAGGCTTCAGTACAACACTTCACTAGTGTTGTACTAGTGAAGGCAGACTCTCTGTACTTGATCAAGCTACTTGATTAGTCTTCACCAATTTCTGTTCTCACATGCTGATCCCATATGGTTTTCCTTTTTCTGACAGCTTGCTTTCCATCCTAATTAATGTGTGTACAGCTTCCCATATTTCAATTCCATGATAATTTTAAGTAGGTCCTGGATCTTCTGAAGAAATTAGCTTCATTCTTCATTACTTCTGTAGTGTGATTCTGTGAACCAGTCCAGAGCATCCCGAATATTTTATAGTATCAGTCAACCTCAAAAATATTTCTGAACAAATGCCACTAGCATGTATAAATACAGCTTACATGGATTCTGCTTGTACAGCACGGCAAAAAGTTGCCTTCTCTGCACTGGGCTCTAGGAGGGTCGATAGATGGAAGGTATCCTTCACTGTAATCATAGCTTGCTTTTCACATAGCTAAATACCACTTCATTGTTAATTCTGCCTATAAAAAGAAATATTTTAAAATGGTAGTCTTGGAAAAAGGCAGGAATTACTGATGCTGTTGCAACAGAATTTTTCCATTAGGAAAAATACAGTGTTATACCAAACTACTATTGGCAAAATACGTATGCTAATTGTTTTGACAGATACAACCTTTATAGGGGATTCCTAGCCCCAAGAATTTAAAGGGTGGTTTCTACCCAAAGAGCAGAATGTCAGGTAATATGAAAAGTTACTTTATAAACCCGTCTTAGCTTCAGATGGGACTCTGCTCAGTTACTGCATCAGTGGTACAACCGATTGCAGTTCTTAGGCTGACTGAAGACATGCAATATGTCACTGGAAATTGGCGATTAGAAGCATGGGACCTACTAGTGTTGTTGCTGTGGAAGTACTTATTTTGGCTAAGAGTTTTCTGGTAACTTTGCAGTGCAGTGTTCTATAAAAAGACTTTCCACTGCTTATGTTTGTTTCACTCTCTTTTTCTTATGTGAAAGTTTGTATTTGCATCAGAAGCTTGAGACATGGGCAAGAATCTTATTGCTAGCACTTAACAGCATCAGTGCTACAGAGACTGATCTTCTGAGGCTGCACAGAGAAATTACACTCATTTGTTCTCTTTGTTACCCATGTTACCAATCATTCCAATTCAGCACCTTTTTCAGAGACACTTTCAAATATTTATCTGACTTGTCCATCTGTAATCTCTGACATTTTTCAGACAGGAAAATGCTCTAGAATTTCTCTTTTGGATTCTAAGGACATCCAAGAGTCTCAATCCCAGCGCTGTAGAAATAAATTTTTAAAAATACTGACTTAGGGGTTTTTTCCCCTTCTGAGAGCCCAAAGAGAACTTGTCTCTGTCCAGGATCTTTGCTATATACCATTCTGATTCTCTCATCAGAAAGGCTGATAAATACATTTCCTCGGACTCCTCTAACTGAAGTGATTTTCAAGATAAGAAGGCATTGTAGATTTTGTTGGCCCTCCTGTAAATCAAGTAATTTTGATATCAAGATGTCCTGTCTTCTGTCTTACAACAGGAAGGTTTTCTTCCTTACCCATTTCCCCTTTCTGAAACTGGATGATTTCTGAAGAGGCTGAAACTTTACTTCTCCACCAGTCCTACAGTGTAAGAAACCTCTTGTTTAGTGATGTTTAAATTTGGTAATTAACATCCATAATTAAGAAATCATTTGGCCATATTGTGGTTTCTTCTCCTTTTCTGTTAAGTGTGTCTAGAAGTTGAAGACAAGGCTTGTGATTGCTGTTATTTCCGCTAGCAGAGTGGCTGTGATTTAGACCCTTACTGGCAGATCATCCTTACATCATTTAAAGATACAATCCATCTTAAAACTCAAGACTGTATTTTCATAACTCATTTCTGTGTTACGTAAACCAAGAGGTTAGCTTGCTTTGTCTTTTAGTTTGCTTGAAATTGGATACTACGTCAGTAGAAACAACCCCTGGGATATGTGCATATTGAACTTGTTTTTGTCTTTCCACATTGTCAGGACAAGATTATTGAGGAAACAAACTGTTTGCATCTATTTTTGGAGTAATCTGAGAAGTTACATATTTCAAGATAAAAAATTTCCCATGGGATAGCTGACTCTAAGGATATGTCATGCAGTAACTACAAACAAAATTTAGAAATGTCCTGCAGTGATCAACTTAAGCTCTATCAGAGACATATGACAATTGATATTTTAGTGCTGCCACAACCTCATATAATTTCAGCCTCACAGTCTCTCATAGCTTCAAAATCTTTCACTCTAACTCCTTCTTCTATGTATCATGCTTCCTGAAGTCACCACAGTGAAAGTATGCATATAGGTACATACACAGCAAGTTGAACATGAGCCAGCAATGTGCCCTTGTGGCAGAGGCAGCAAATGGTATCCTGGGCTGCATTAGACAACGTATCAGCAAGTTGAGGGAGATGACCCTTCCTCTCTACTCAGCAATGGTGAGGCCACACCTGGAGTACTGGGTCCAGTTCTGGTCTCCCCAGTACAAGAGAGGCCTGGACATACTGGAGAGAGTCCAGCAAAGGGCCACTAAGAAGATTAAGGGACTGAAGCATATGAGGAAAGGCTAATAGAGCTGGGACTGTTCCACCTGGAGAAGGGAAGGCTCAGGGGGATCTCATCAAAGTGTACAAATAGCTGAAGGGAGGGTGCAAAGAGGGGGAGCCAGGCTCTTTTCAGTGGTGCCCAGTGACAGGACCAGAGGCAATGGGCACAAACTGAAACACAGGAGGTTCCCTCTGAACATCAGGAAACACTTTTTTACTGTGAGGGTGACTAAGCACTGGCATAGGTTGCCCACAGAGGTGGTGGAGTGTCCCTCCTTGGAGATACTGAAAAGGCTTCTGGACATGGTCATGGGGAAACTGGCCCTAGGTGACTATGTTTGAGCAAAGGGGGTTGGACCAGGTGACCTCCAGAGGTCCCTTTCAACCTCCACCATTCCGTGCTAAAGGGTTTTGTGTGTATATGTTTTTAAACCTGTTGACATGTCTTTGGTATGTGTTGTCTGTGTGTGTGTTCTAAATTTCCCTTCAGAGACCTTAACTTCAATATCTACATTTGGAGTAACTGAAGGAAAACTTGCCTTCCTCTTTATATAAAACTGTGGGAGCTACATATATAAAAGATTGCTATTGAAATATGATTCTACTTAGGCTTCCAAGAATTTGAACTTCCACTAGCTTTATTTGAAGGCTCCTAGTTCTTGTATTGGAAGAGACAGTAAGGTCCCTATCCACTTTCTCTTTACCTTTTATCATTTTGAGGGGAACACTATGCCCAGGCCCCTTAGGTCTCCTTTTCACTAAGCTGGATAGTCCTAGCCTTTTTTGTAGATCTTCATATGGAACGCATTCTGTATTTCTAATTAATCTTGCTGCTTTTCTCTAAAACTTCTCCAGTTTTAGCGCCTCCTTTTGAGAGTAGGGCATGAGCACTGCACACAATATAGAAGGTGCAGGCAAACCTCAAATGGCCCAAGTGTGGTTTTTTCCTCTTTATTTTCTAATAATTTTTAACATGGAATTGTTTTTGTTTGTTTGACTGCTGTTAGGCATCAAGTTGTTGTCTTTGTGGAGCTATCTGTTGTAGCTATGAGATTTCTTTTGAATAGTACTAGTAAGCTCAGTATGTATGAAATAAAGACTGTTCTTTTTTGGATTAAGTTACATAATTTATATCCTACAGATGTCATGTTTCATGTCCACATTTTGTCAAACGTTTATTTAAAAAAAAAAAGTTAGTTTCACATTTGTCATCCTCCTTCCTTTGGGTACAATAGAAATTTAAGTGAAATGGTAAACGCTACCACTAGTATAGTAATTCTTTGATTTAACACTCAACACATTAAGTAATTACCAAATAATTTTTATTTTGTTTGTTTTACAGGAGAATATTAAAAAGTGAGCCCCCTTATCCACAAGAAATGAGTGCACTGTCTAAGGATATAATTCAGCGTCTTCTGATGAAAGACCCCAAGAAGAGGCTAGGTTGTGGTCCCACTGATGCCGATGAAATCAAACAGCATCCCTTTTTCCAGGTAAAACAAATAACAAAACTCCCTAGATGCCACTTACTCTACGTTAGTGCTTTTGAAATCCAAGTCTAAAGAAATTTTGTTGATTTGTTAACAACACACTTAGAGGTGTGTTAATAGCATGAATAATTGCATTGAAGTTAGTAAGAATATCTGTGCTTATGTATATGGATTTCGTGCATACTACAAGAATGGCATGGTAGATTTTGAATATATTCTATTTCTAACAGTTACTTGAAGCAGCCATAAGACACACTACTTAAACCAGAAGGTTTAATGGAAGACACTTAAATTATATATTGTGTGTTGTTTTTTTTTTTTAAGAAAGTTTACCACTAACATTATTAGTAAAATTTGAATATTGATAAAATTCACCATTAGTGATAAAGGCCTCTTCTGTATTTTCCTTTGCCTAATTAAATCTTTAGTCCTGTTTAGTAGATTTTAATTCTGTTCAGATTTCAGTGTATTAACATTTGGTTTCAGACAATGATGAAGATTGGATTTGTGTACAACATCCATACTGTTCTATCCATTGCGATTAAAATTGTTTGTGTGCTTTCTTTGAAAAAACTAAGTATGTATTTCTGGTGCTTTGAAGTTAAATATGTTTTTAATTACTATAACTTTTGGAGTATTTAAAGTTGGTAGTATAAATTAAGCCTTTAAAATAAATGTTTTTCATGTAACTATTATAACATTCAGCATGGGCAATATCTTGGCTTCTTAACTGCTGAATTTGTTCTCATCCCTTCTGTATTTCCTTTGTCTTATAAGAAAGTCTGACAAAGTAGAGTTAAACTTCCTTTATTCATTGTTTGTTTTGGAAGATACATTTTTTCCTCGTACAACGCTTTCTAATCTTGACTTCATTTCTGTTCCACCCCTTTATAGTAGTAGGGCCATTTTCTCATAACTACTATAGAGGTATTATGCTCTCAGGGCTCTGGAAGCTGAAATTGGTAATTAAGCATAGAAATCAGCAGTGGAAAGCTGAAGATACTGCATGCATGCACTATGGCTTACCAAAATATAAATGTTGTTTCCTCTGAAACAGAAGAAAAAATTTAAGGGCTGTCATGCTAATTGTTTTGCTTATCTCCACTGTTAAATTTCTTTGTGTTGATCCCCCCCCCCCCAAAAAAACCCCCGGATTCTGTCAACTTAAAAATATGTATGATACTTCTTGCCTTTACCTAAGCAAATTAGTAGGGCATAATTTGAATGCTTTTCATCTGCCTGTGGAAAATAGCAAATGGTGTTAGGACTGTTTGTTTCTGGACAAGTCTCTCTTTGCAATATTTGTTTCTGTTAAATTTTCATTTGATTCAAAGTTATTTTCCTGGTTTTGCTTTAGAATATGAATTGGGATGATTTAGCTGCCAAAAAAGTATCAGCTCCATTTAAACCGGTAATCAGAGATGAGTTGGATGTCAGTAATTTTGCGGAAGAGTTTACAGAAATGGATCCAACGTATTCTCCTGCAGCAACCCCTCAGACTTCAGAAAGGATATTTCAGGTATTCTAAGAATTCACTTTAATTAAAAAAAATAAATCATTTATTGAACAATTCCACGTGTATAGCTAGCTTTTTTTTTCCTGCCTTCTAAGTTACTGGGAATTAACTCTGTAATTTCTAATCCCAGTTCCCAGGGCTGTTTGTTCAGCAATTGCAAAATGAGAAAGGTGGAAACAGTCCTACTGGAAACATAAAATTCCATGTCTCTCCATTCCCAGCTGAATGTCCTACCTGCTGGACTGAAGTCAGTCTGTCCTTTACTGATTCTTCATACCTTATGAGTCTTGTCATCTTGACTCCATCAGCCTGGGCTATCGGCTTTGACAACAGCAATGTAGTTTGTCCATGTCCACATTATGCTCTAGCTGAGGTATTCCTTTGGGAAGTGGGAGCCAACTGCAGAGTTGAAAGTTGGTCTTCCATGTCCTGTAGGAGTGCTCTCATTACTAACTGTATACAGATCAGTAACAAAGATTTCCTTACCATTTCCTCCATGTTATTAAAGAATGATCCCTTCTTTGACTGCACAGTCTGGATGTCAAATGGGCAGAAACAGCTCATGTGCAGCCAACTTGGTACCAAAGCTGCAGAGGTGAACAGCAGTTTAGATTGCTTTCTCTCCTCCTCCTTCTCATGCTTTGTTTTTTATTGTCTGTTTTTGAGCAGCTTAATGCTTGGTGTACAGGAATATAGCATCATATATTGGAAGTTGTTAGATTTGTAGTGACTGTAGTAAGCAATTTATGCATGTCATAATATGATCTGATTCATCCTGCAGTGGTAGTCACAGCTGTTCTTGTTACAATACCCAGCCATTAATATGAAGCTTATTTTGTTTTGCCACTTAAAATGGTTTGATGCTTACATCACAACATAAAAACTATTCCATGCCTTAACATAAAGGTGTTCTGGGAAGCTAGCTAGTTTGAGGTATGAGCCTTTATCACTATTGCAAAGCAATTGAAGCTAAGTCAGATTCCTAGCATTATTTACAAGAATTTTTGTATTATTATTGTTTTATCTGTAACTGCGGAGAATCATGTAACTAATTCCAGGAAGATACCTGTTCACGTTGAACAGAGTAATATCTACACGTCAATGAGCCAGTTATGGTTTCTGTATTATGTTATGAAAATTGTGATTTCTTTGAAAAATTATTCTGAAACTTCTAATGTTTTTGTATGCAGTAGGATACTTTGTGTGCAACAATTTCAAGCCATGCCCTTTTCTGATGTCTTAATTTCATAGGGATATTCTTTCGTTGCACCTTCTATTTTGTTTAAACGCAATGCAGCTACAGTAGATCCTCTTCAGTTTTATATCGGGGATGAGCGGCCTGGAACTACAACTATTGCCAGAAGTGCTATGATGAAGGTAATAATAATATCAAGAGCTGAATTAATTTGGTTAACTTGGAACTGCATATAACTTTCAAAGCAGCAATCACAAGCTAGGCTACAGATTACAAATAGTCATTATTCATTTATCTGTTGTCTGTAATGGCTCCTCAGATGATCCAAGCATGTAATTTGCATGTGGTACTATTAAGAAATGGTTGAAGTTTAATCTGAAAAATGAGATGATTGTCTAGTTTTCCAGAAGACTGAAGTATAGTAATAATAGTAATTTGACTCCTGATAGTTCTTACTCAGCCAACCACTGCAGATATTTTTGAAGCTACTTTAATTATATCAGAATTCCTTCTACGATGTATTTGCCCAAAAGTATGTATAGTTGTGTGAAGCCTTATAAGACCATATGCTATTGTGATGTCTTCAAACGACCACATAGTTTTGTGGATAAACGTATGTACAGCCATCTTTGATACTGTTTGTCTTAATATTTTGTTTCTTAAGCTATTGTAGTAGTAATAATTTTCTTAGTGATAATGTTTGTTTAATGTAACATAAGATTTACTCTTTGATTATTAGAATAAAGTTTATGCATTTTATTAAATAGAAGTTAAGATTATATTTTATCAAAAAGAGAGCACTTTTACAATTTAAAATATGTAGATGAAAAATTCTCATGAAACTTTACTCTTTGTCTTTGACTGTGTATACTAAAAGTATTCTGCAGAACTAAATACAGACAGTTTCCTAACAGGACTCTCCATTTTATCATCATTATGAACTGGATCTGAAAGAGAAACCATTGGGAGAAGGAAGTTTTTCCATTTGTCGAAAGTGCTTACACAAGAAAACTAGCCAAGAGTATGCAGTAAAAATAATTAGCAAAAGGTATAAATATTCTATAAGACAATAACAATATTTTCTTTGCTTACTGTCACCCATGGATTAGAATAATGGTTGCTACATTTTTGGAAGTGGAAAAATAAATAATTTCCTATTTGAAGAATCTACAGAAACTTACAGTAACCTTATGATCTTTAAAAGATTCCGAGTCTTTTAAAACAAAGTGTTATTCTTGCGGGGGAGGACACAAGAAGAAACCTAAAGAGTACTTTTCTGGTTCCTAGTTGTATTCTACCCTTATTTCCCCTAATTTTACTCCTAACCAGGGTAAGGTATAAGGCTTTCCTATCTTTAGACCTAAGTGAACTGAATGGTGGCTTATGCTAGCTCCCTTCCCTAAGCAGCCCAATTCATTGCCTATGACATTGCTCTTAGGAAGGGTCTGTAGTGTGGGTTGCCTCAGATGTAATTAATTGTGTGTGTAAAATGGAATTAGACTATAGAGTTGTAAGTTGCATCTTGTTTCCTGGGTGTTCTGAAGAGAACACCACAATGGAGGCAGCTGACTTGCTTCGTACATGGGGACCATCTGGTCCTCTTCCAGAATAGATACCTCTGGCAGTTTCCGTCCAGAGAGAAATAAAGATAAAGGATTCTTCAGGAGGTGGTTGGATTTTTAGCTTCACTTTGCAGTGTTCATTAGTAAATATGTCCCTAGTGTGTTGTAGAATGCTGGCAATAAAGTGTAAATGTTCTGCTATTGCAATGATAGTTCACAGTGATCTCTTCTCCAAGACATTTGACTGTACCTCTGTTTTTCCAGTCTGTAGAAGTAACTGTCCACCAGACTTAAGTGTTTTATCACATGCTTTTTGGATAGGATAAGTTCAAGAATAAAGACACCTAAATGTAGGTGTCTGAGTCAGTTTTCCAAGTCTGCTATGATTAATGGAGGCCTACTCAAAACTACTAGTGGAGCCTACAGAGAGATTTGAATGACCAGGCACTAGCAGTGGGATTCAGTAACTTAAACATAGGCATCTACGTAGTGCCATTTTAACATCTGTTGGTGTCCTCTCTGTCCTCCAGTCCCCATCAGTCTTGTGACTACTACTTTTATGTAGATGTCTTCATGGCTGATGTCTTCCAGGGTCTCCTGTGCTTAGGCCACTGAATCCTATTCTAGGTATGTATTTTACAGGGAACTAGGTCACGCTGTAAGATTAATGAGAATTTCACGCATTATAATGAGACCACAGACAAGTACTATGCAGCAGACACCTACATTCGGTATTTTGATCTGGAAATCTCTGCCTTGTGTCTACATTCAGAATTTTTTTCTGTTGTGTACACAGAGCTGCAAATCAGTACTCCGATTTCATCTTAAGCTAATGGATTTTTTGTTTCTGGATAACGGTGAGCAAGCTAGTATTGACTTTTCCCATAGAACTAAACTTCTAGGAACTATGTCCCTAAATGGTATTGCTCACAGGGTTTTTTTGCTCTTTCTCCTTCATCTTGGTGGACCAGGCTAAATGAAGATAAGAAGTGGTCTGTATACAGAGATTTTTTTAGGATTGCAGGCTGTGAGCAGACTCAGAGCATGTTTGTGTAGTATTTAGAGATAGCAGTAAACCCACACTCTGGCTGGACACAAACCAGCCTTGAGTAAGAAACTGTTAAACTACAAGTAATATTGCTCTGAGGACCACACTAGTAACTCTTGCTAAAAGTAGAAATATAATATGTTTGTAGTAACTTCTTTGCCTCAAAGTCAGACAGTCTTTCACTCCTACCTGTCAAAGGTGCCAAAAAAGTGAATCCTACACCTAGGCAAACCTTTTCATGATACTTCAAGTGAAAGCTCAGATCAAGAGTTCCTCTGTGGTGTTGCTTTGTTAGTAGAACTGGAACTGCCTCCATCCAACACTTTGAGGTTTATCTGTGTCTGAAGGCCAATGAAACAGCAGAGTCCTGTAAACTTGCTTGAGTTACTGTTATAGAGCTTCCCATTTGTTTTTCATGATATTATCTGTTTAAAATTTGAGATGGTAACTATTTATAGAGGGGAAATACTCAGAAAAGTCCATGCACAAATTTCAAAGGTTTATGTTCATGATACTGAACCTTTTTAATCTGTTTCCTAGGTCCACCTTCTCCTGATAGTAGTTTAGGGGGGAAAGACTATCCGAGTCAGGTTTTTTAATTTCTTAAGGACCTGAAATCACTTTCAGTTTAAACATCAGCAGAGGTGCAGGTGGAACAGCTTAGTTGTTGATTATATGAAGCCTGCAGAAATCAGAATTCTCTTGCACAAAATTCTCATCATTGTTCTGGTCCTAATTGGGGTGGGGGAAAGCAACCAAAGATTAAGAACACATGGTGAGAGGGATTCTATCTGTGTTATTCATAAGGCCATTCTGTAAGTCAGTACAGGATTAGCCTTTCTTGGAGAGAGTTTTGGCAAAAATTTTCAGGTGTTATTTGCCCCAAATAAATCAACATATGTATTTAGTGGAAAACAAAATGTTCTGCTCTGTCCCCATTCACATAGTTTTTATAATGTTCACCGTGTTCACTTTTTTTGGCTATTTCAGTACTTGAAAGAGAATTTGTGCGATGATTTTTGCTCTAGAGCTAGTCTTATCTCTTCCATTTCACATTTTTACAGTGGCCTGTTAAGGGGTTCATTTGTATAACACAGTTCATATATAGATGATGTTACTCTTTTTTCTAGTAGGAACTCATAGTTTCCATACAGCTTTGGAAGTACTTATCTCCTCTAAGAATGGAAAAGGATTGGACCAATAATTTGAGTCTTCAAGATAAAGCTGAACTAACAAATACTTGTAGGAACAGAGGTGAAGTCAAATTGCCCTGGACTAAGGGAAAGGTTTGTTTTAGGTAGAAACTATTCTATAATACCATTTCAACTTTTGCTGTAGCAAGTTGCAGTTGCATCAAAAACATTGTTTGATTTGGGTGTGGTTTTTTTAGTGTCCAAACTTGCAGGGTTATGTGGAGAGTTTTGCTCAGCTTTGAATATGCTTTTAACTGTGTTCAAGTGGTTGTAATATTAAAAAATCTGGATTTCAAGCAATTAAAAAAAATAGGTGTAACACTTTGAATGTGCAATTTGCTCAGTAAAATTGGTACAAAATGACTGCTCGATTTTTCCAGAATGGAAGCCAACACCCAGAGAGAAATAACAGCTCTGAAACTCTGCGAAGGACACCCAAATGTAGTGAAGTTACATGAAGTTTATCATGACCAGGTATTTTGAAGAAACTATAATCAGCACTTGCCAAACACATTGCTATGTGTCTTCCCAAGAACTTGTAGGAGTTAAGTGTACTGTTACTGTGGAGGCAACTTTTTTCCTAGAGCTTTTGTCTAGTCAGTATAGAAGATGAAGCAGAAGTTCTGCATTCCAGGGAACTTGCAGTTACTCTTGCAAATCAAAACAGTATTTGGAAGAATTAGAGTCCTGGATTCCGGTTCTGGTTCTGTCCTTGGTCTGCTTCGTTAATCATCATACAATATATTCATGGCCCAGTTTCCACATCTATGATACTGAGTTACCTAATTACCTTCCCTTGGGGTTGTCGTGAATCTTAAAATAATATTTGTGAAATAATTTGGAAATCTTACATATGAAGATTACATATCTAGCATTTTTTCTTACATATTAGTAACTTAATGAAGATAACCAAGGAGCTTGCTAAATTACGAAATATGAAAGTAGAGCCTGTGTTTGAAAATATATTGAGATCAGTCCAGGGTTTATTTAGAGACCCTAGTTGTCTTTTTCCTTAGTGTAATGCAAGCTCCACAGCATGTAATAAGCCATAATTTGATCTAACTTGGAGGTTGGCTCTGGTTTGAGCTAGGGGTTTGGACCACATGTCCTGCAGAGGTCCCTTCCAACCTAAACTGCTCTGTGATTCTAGTCTTACGAATTTGTAATGGAACATGGGCTCTCTTGCCTCCCCATGTATCCCAGTCTATCCCTATAATGCTCTTTATACAAGGACCAGCAGAGTGCTCATGTGGAGCACTTCTGAATGAGCTGAGAGGATGAAAAATCTGTACTGTAATCTTTAATAATAAGGAAGCCTTTTTTTGCATTTATGTACACTATGAGTACATGTGTGTAGAACAGGATGCTTTTTCACTTTCCTTTGAGTAAAATGGCTATTCTCAGGTATATTTAAAAAAAATATTCTTCAGATTGCTCTGCAACTGAATAGGCTACTCTCAACCAGCCAAACAATTGTATTTTTAGTTGCACCTGGTAGCTCCCAGGTGTTATCTTCCAGATGACTCATGCACAATATTCTGAAGAGCAGAACTGATCAAAATTTTCTAGTTTTGACATTTCTGCGGTTTGTCTTAAAAAAAAAAAAAAAGTTCAAATTTTTAACTTGCTCTGATACCAGTCTGATCAAGTTCTACATTAGTCATCCAACCATAGGGTATTAGGTTGCAGTCTCTTTTGTTGAGCCACAAGAAGTTTTCTATCAGAGAAGAGTCTCTTTATCCTTTCCAACTTTCCTGTCAGCTCTTCCCAAGACACAAAGAAAATTTGCGGGGGAGGGTATCTTACAAGCACTACTAGCAATGTGATTAGTAGACACCTTGTTCTAAGGAGTCTTGCCGCTTTCTGTCTGCATAGCTCTGCTTCTCTTCCTTGGTATCTAAATACTGTGCACCTTCTGTTCCTGAATTTCTTTGAATTTCATTTTTTGACCTCTTCCCAGAACTTTTTTTCTTTGCTTGCAAATATTAACTTTCGTTACTGTCATTCAGGGGAAGGAAGTTCTAGAAGCCATCACATGCCTACATCCATTGCCTTTTAAGAATGCTAACCTCACTTCCCTGTCCTGAGAAGTCTGCTGTTTGTTTAATGGCAAGACATTTGAATTGCAGTTGATTGTGGGCTAATGTTGCCTTATAATCAAGGAATTCACTGCTTATTGATTGTCTTGAACAACCATCTAAACAACCATTACTTTTTTAATTAAAAAAATACTCTTTAATGTTTGGGGAGACATCTATTGTGATTCTAACGATAGAGTAGCTTTGGCTACTGCTCTGTAGGGGATGAAATTGGAAGAAATTCTAGATAATCTTTGATTTCACAGTAAAGTTTCAGGGTGCTTTTAAAGGATTTGGTAACATTAAATGGCTAAGTCCTTATGCATATTAATAGAAATGTATCCCTACGTCAGAACAGGCTTAAGCAGCAAAAGTCTAGCTTTTTCCAGCTTTATTTACTAGCCTAAAGAAAGGCATTTCATTTCCCTACAAATTCACCCATTTACATGGTGGCACTGCATTTTTGTAAATAAATATGGGTGGACATGGGGAAGACATCAATATTCTTCAATCTCAGTGAGACTGATGGGGAAAAGATCATCTGAGATGCAATTTCATGCTTCTTATTGGACTTCTGAATTGCGATGAGCAGCAGGTTTTTTCTTCAAACTTTGAGAACCTGTCGGAATAGTACCTAGCTCCTGAATGATTGTTGGTTTGTAATGTTGAATTTCTAACATGGCATATTTTTCTTTATTGTTTCAGCTTCACACGTTTCTAGTAATGGAATTGCTGAAGGGAGGAGAACTGCTTGAACGTATTCAGAAAAAGAAACATTTCAGTGAGACTGAAGCCAGTCATATTATGCGCAGACTTGTTTCAGCGGTGAGCCATATGCACGATGTAGGAGTAGTCCACAGAGATCTGAAACCTGAGGTATTATGACTTGCTTATATATGGTTAGACATTAAGCTATTAAATATCTGGAATGTGATGTATTTCTGTTCCTCCAGCTTTTATTACAGGTTTTTCTACTTCTGTTTTTTTAATAAAATGTTATCACTTCTACTTAGCAAATTCTGTAGATATTTTTCTGTTCATAGGTAAAAGTAACTGTTAGGAAAGATTTTTAATTTTTTAAGCAATTTACACTCTTTCAAAACCACTCTTTGCTTATTTGGGGACAGTTTTTACTAGTGGTAAGTATATATTTATTGTATGGAAACAGTTCACAAGCAGAGCTAGGTTGCTTGGGTACTTTGCCTGTACATTTCCACCTTTTGTTTGATCTTAATTCCCTCGGTAGGGCTTCTTTTGGAGGTAGCTGTGACACCCTTGTACTGTCTTCTGTCCCAGTTAAACAGAAAATGAACCACAAGCTAACACAGCCAACTAATAAAGATGTGTGATTTGAGTTCAGTGAGTCTAGTAGTTTCCTATGAGAAACAATTATGTAATATATATTTTTCAGTAATTATTTGTTGTCCTGGTTTCAGCTGGGATAGAGTTAACTGTCTTCCTAGTAGCTGGTACAGTGCTATGTTTTGAGTTCAGTATGTGAAGAATGTTGATAACACTGATGTTTTCAGTTGTTGCTCAGTAGTGTTTAGACTATAGTCAAGGATTTTTCAGCTTCTCATGCCCAGCCAGGGCACCTGACCCAAACTGGCCACCAGTGTATTCCATACCATGGGACGTCCCATCTAGTTTAGGAACTGGGAAGTGGGGGGCAGGGTTTCGCTGCTCGGGGACTGGCTGGGTGTCGGTCGGCGGGTGATGGGCAATTGCCCTGCACATCATTTGTACATTTCAATCCTTTTATTACTACTGGTGTCATTTCATTAGTGTTATTATCATTATTAGTTTCTTCTTTTCTGTTCTATTAAACCGTTCTTATCTCAACCCCGGAGTTTTACTTCTTTTCCTGATTTTCTCCCCCATCCCACTGGATGGGGGGGGAGTGAGTGAGCGGCTGCGTGGTGCTTAGTTGCTGGCTGGGGTTAAACCACGACACTTGTTCTGGTATTTTTACTGTGCAGCAACATCTTGCCTTCCAGACAATTCAGTTTACTATGGTAAGGTTGACCACTAGCTTTGTTCTACTTCCTGGAGCCAATGTTTGCTGCTTTTTCTTTGCCAATAATGCGCTTGGATATGCGTTAGTTTTCTTTAGCCCAAGAATCATGTAGACTGATGTTAGTTCATCCAATAAGGATGTTATATTGTATTGGTGATTACAGTCATCATAATTCAGGAAATAGCTACTCCTTTTGTATCTGGAGTTCAAAACAATCCACCATTCCTACCAATGTTTCATCCTGTTGTAACATACCTTCTGGTATATTACAAACTTCTTTTATAGTAATTCCAGTTCAACATGTAAAGAAGTCTGCTAGGTGTTGGTATTAAACTGTTTTTGAAAATCAGTCCAAAATACAGGCATTTGAAAATATCTCTCTACTGGAGTCTCTGTACTAAATAAACAATTAAATAAAGAGGGGCTATTGTGAAATTCTAATGTGTCAGTTGAAAATGTGACTGTTGGAAAAAGTTTATCTGCTGACATCATCAAGGAAAAGAAACAGCTTTTGAAACAAGTCATTATTAAAAGGGCAAAACCCAGAAATCCTTTCTCTTCCCATTCTCGTCATTTAGTCTTATTAACATCTTGAATATAAAGGCCAGATTCTGTAAAGCAGAGCTTCAGCTGCATGGTAAATTAGGCAGTCATCAATTCTACATCATGTTCAAGAACAGAAGTCTGGGAAGTCAAAGTAATGAAGGGTTAGGAAATAGCTTGCAAAAAGCATTGACTCCACAGAGCTGGACTTAACCAGCCTGTCTCCTTCCTGCTTGTTGTTTTGAAAGTTACTATTTTAGGTTCAGAAATGAACTTAGTATGGGATATGCAGGCTTCCCAATATAGATGTGGTTAGTGCACCTTTCTGTAAAAAGATACACAGGAAATTCTGTTGCTTCTCTAACAGTTCCAGTCAGATTTGTTTGATGTTCAACTCTGACATCTAATGTGATACTGATAAGTCTATTTTAAAAAATAAGGCTGGTTACATGTCATGAAGGATGAGGCTTTTTTTAATTGCATGGACTGGTAGACTCTTCTGTTTAAGCAATAGTAATAAGATCACATATATTGCTCTGCAAAATAGAGGAAAAGTACTGGATAGAAAATAGGAAATTTACAGAAATAAAGAGTTTGTGTAGCATATGTGACCATTTGGAGCCTCTCAGTAGAGGATTTGAGGACTATTTCTGTGAAGTAATCATTAATCTGTAAACTAGGTTCCAAAGATATTAGAAAAAACATACCAAGGCAGAGATAATGTTTATATATCCTTAAAATATATGTGGAATATTGCTTTAAGTGTGGGTTTTTGTGAAACATGCTTTATTTACGTAATCAACAAAGTCATTTGAACCCAACTTGGGACATTTGGACTGTACCTTTCTGTACATAACCAATTTCATGTTTGGCTTAAGAAAGGAGGTCTTTTTAAACCAATGTTACTGCAGTTCTTTATTTACTTGTTGGCTATATACCACCACCATAGAAAAAAGATGATTGTACTGATCACCTATCATTGGATTAATATTTTTGCTCAAATTAGGCTTCACTCAGATCCATTTTGCACAACATTTTAATAGGCAAAACTGACTTTTCTGATTGTGCATTAAGCTATTAACAGCAGTATGGAATGCAAAAATACTGTTTTGTAGCAGCTATTCTCTTTTATACATAATGAATGCTCTCAGGTTCTCCTTATTGATATGCTTGCAGTCTAGCAATCATTCCCCCTCCCCCCCTTAATGAGTTTGAAATTAATTACTATGAGTCATTCACCTTTTGTATTGCAAAATTACATAGGGCTGTGGTGGGTTGACCCTGGTTGGATGCCCTGCCCCAGCCTGCCATTGAGGGGGGTGCAAAAATGTTGGAGAGACAGCCTTGATGCTGTGCCAGCACTGCTCAGCAGTAGCCAAAACACTGGTGTGCTATCAACACCTTTCTAGCTACTGATGCAGAGCACAGTGCTATGAGGGCTGCTATGGGGAGTATTAACTCCATCTCAGCCAGATCCAATACAGGGCCATAGTATTTCTAATACTGAGAATTTTTCTGGCATTGCATAGGTTAAACAGCAAGGCAACAGCAAAATTTTGCTCTCCTCTCTTCTCTCAAAAGTTCAAGGGGGGAGTAGAAATAATTTATAATTCATCTTGGCCTCAGCCAGTTCTCCTAAGGCTTAGCTTCACCCTTGTATCTTTCTTAACAAATATAAATACTCAGGGAAAAGAAGAACAGATTGTCTTAAATCTTCTTCCAAACTCATAACAACTTCTCTGTCTTCAAGTTTGTGATGCCACATTCCAGTCTGTAAAGCTGGAATTCTCAGGGACTACTGTACCAAAGTTTCTTTACCTTGGTGTAACAAGTAGGACATTGGTTCGAGGTTGGACTGCTCTGTGACCTTCAGTGCTTGAATGCTGTTGGTCCTAGGTCTCTTCCAGAATGCATATCTATATTGACTTTCAGATCCATGCCAGACAGCAGTCGGTACAACTACTGAGCTATTGGTGCGCTTTCTAGTCCACCATCCTTTGCTTTCAAATTATGTTTTTGCATTATTGTGCTCCTGGCAATGTGGATTCAGTGTGTTACCACTCAAGGACCAAAGACTAGTCAGTCACAAGACAAGACATGCAAGAAGAGTTCAATGTACAAAAAAGCTGTAATTCGCAACATGCCAGAGGAAGCAGAAGCTTAAGAAAACTTATTTTTGTTTGAGGAAGAAGGCAGTTCTCCATTTATGTTGATGTCTTTGCTTTTTCTCTTGTCAGTGTTCCCAGAATTATTTTCCCCACTGTTCTCTGCTAAATACCTGTTTTTGTTGTTAATCTCAGACAGAACTATCCTGGCTTGCAGGGGGACGGATAAACACATCACATTTTCTTACATCCCAGATTACCATTATTTCTGTTTTTCCATTTTTTTCCCAGTGTCTCCCAGTTCCCCTTCTCTCTAGGGAAGTTTTCTGTAGTAATAAATGTAGGAAAAAAAAAAACCTATTAAGTATTCTAACCAATTTTCTACCCAGTGCTGGTATTGATTTTGTCTTTGCTTTTCAGAATTTATTGTTTACGGATGAAACTGATAATTCAGAAATAAAAATAATTGATTTTGGCTTTGCTCGTTTAAAACCACCTGATAATCAGCCTCTTAAGACTCCGTGTTTTACTCTTCATTATGCTGCCCCAGAGCTCTTGAATCACAATGGTTATGACGAATCATGTGATCTGTGGAGTTTGGGGGTCATTTTGGTGAGTGATTGAGGTTTTTAATTGTAGTTTTATTGTATGTATTTACTTTTTGTTAAAAAGCAAAGGACTTGACACAATGTCAGACTTGAATTGGGTAGATGCTGAATTCAAGTAAGGTGAAAATACTGCTGCACAAATAATAGGTTCCAAAGACAGATGTTTTCCAGGGACGGAGATTTTTTTTTCCTAAGCAGTAAATTAAATTCAACATTTCTGGGAATGGAAAAAATACTTGATACAGCCTGGTTATTAAAAAGAGATATTCTTGTTAAGAGATTTTACAGCCATTCTTATAATCTTCCTACAGTTTCAATTCAGAGAAGGAATCAGCTTGCATTCTGATTTACTGAAAATTAATTTCACTAGATATAAACTGGGTAGAAACGCCATTATGTTTTGTTTATAACTTTCCAAAACATATGAGTGTTTTTTTTTTTAACAATGACTCCAGAAAAAGTCTTGCGTATTTTAAATTTTCTATAGCCTTGAAGTTATGCTAGTCAAAGTTCTATTGTATAGTGCTGGTGATGCAAACAACAGCACTCCGTATTAGTAATAGGGTTGTCAATAAATGTATTGTGTTTGTTAATACTACTTTTGTTCTCATGACAGTATACAATGCTATCAGGACAGGTACCATTTCAGTCTCAAGACAAAAGTTTAACATGTACCAGTGCATTGGAAATTATGAAGAAAATAAAAAAGGGGGAATTTTCCTTTGAAGGAGAAGCTTGGAAAAATGTTTCTGAAGAGGCTAAAGAGTTAATTCAAGGTATGTATTCACAAATATTTCATGTACCTTATGTTTTTATGTCAAAAAGTAAAATTTAGAGAACTATACAACACCTGGATGCTGTGATCAGCATCAGAGTGCCTAACCTGACAGTAGTATCCACAGCTTGAGCTATGTATTGACCCCTAATACAAGTTAGGGGTAAAGGTGGACACATCAGAATGGCCTTACAAATTGCTTGTATGCCTAGCAGGGAGCTTTCTAATGTAGTGAGTTGCTGATAGAAGGTTAGCAGGGTTAGAAGTAACTGAAGAGCTTCAGAAAAAGTGAAGTCACTCTTTTAAAACATATTTAAAAGCAGAGTTTTTCTTTTATGTTATCTTTGCTTTTGTAAAAACACCAGGTTATGAGATAAATGTTTTCAAAGCTGAGCTTTTGCAGAAAATGAATTTATTACTATAATTTTTAACTTGGGCTGGTTTTGAATACATGTACCAAGACTGCTGTATTTCTGAGCTGCTTCTTTCACGTTTGCTATGCTTTGATTCCCCTTAAGCTTTTGAGCATCTAATTATGTTTTCAGCATGAGATAGACACCAGTCTTAATTCTGCTAAGATAGAGTTCTGAATTTCTATAGAAGCAGGCTTGTAAGGAATTTTTCTGCCAAAACTGTAGGCATCTCCAGATTCAGACTTCAGTGGATCATGCAGAAAATCTGAGGCTTACTCTCTTGAACTTCATCCTAGACAGGTTTTAAGTGAAGAAATCATTTGGTAGTTCTGAGTTCGTGTGAAAAGAGATGTGAGTTATCAAACAGTTAAATAGCAATTTCTTGCATTTAATGATTCTTCTGGAGAAGATGATAGTATAACATTGTATGAGCCTTATCTAGGATAAGTATTGGCATATCTAGGATAAATATTGGCATTACTTAGCAAAGCAATGCATGAGATTTTTCTTAAAAAATAATTGCATTTTCTATTAAAAGAAGATAAATAGCTCACAATTTAAGAGAATGTAATATATTTCTATTAGGACTTCTAACAGTGGATCCAAACAAAAGAATTAAAATGTCCAGCCTGAGATACAACGAATGGCTTCAGGATGGCAGCCAGCTGTCATCCAACCCTCTAATGACTCCTGATAACTTAGGCTCTTCAGGAGCTGCGGTGCATACATATGTCAAAGCCACTTTTCATGTAAGTTCTAGGAAATCTAACGTTGTGCTAAATTTTGTAATGTGTTAATCTAGAATTTTGTATGTTTTCTCTTAATTAAAAATATGTATTTGTCCTTATAATTCAGTGATTGCTTATAGCTGCAATTTTTTCCTCAATACCTAGCATCTGTGAGTGAGTACAGGAAAACATGAATGATGAGGCAAGAATAAATTTCTTGAAGACATTTATACTAATGGGGTTTTGGGGACTGAGAGACAGCTGGTCATGAAAAATAGCTATTATAAATACTCTGTTTCTTAGAGAAATCTACTAAAAGGTCTTCAAACTTCTATAAAAAAGAGAAGAAACTTTCTATTTAACTTAAGTAACTGTTTGACTTTTTGTCTTTATGGTTATAAAATTGAGCTAAAATTCCTGGAACTTACCTAGTTCATGTTTTTAATATCACAGATACATTTTTAACGGACTTGCTTGTCTACCATTGCATATTTACTAAAAACATTTGAACTGCAACTGTATTATACAAACATAGTGTTAGTTCTCATGATTCCTTCTACAGAGAATAAACTGAAATTGAGCAGATTTGTGCTGAAATACTTGTAGACGCTTATTACCAAGAAGAGAAAAAGAAAGAAATTGTTACTTGGAGAGGTCCTGATAATGCAACATAATTTGGGCTGAAAGAAAAACCGTGGTTTAACTAAGTGTAGTGTCTGAAAATGTAGTCTTAAATAGGTTTAATGCTTAATAAAAAATACTTCTAAATTAAAAAGAACAAGGAGGGGAAGAGGCCAATTAATAATGTTATGTATGGGCTCTTAAATACATGTAAAGGCTAGTAAAGTTATTGTTACAGCTACAGTAAGAATTAGTAGGGATCTGTCAAGAGATTACAGTTTATCTTATGGCTTGCTTACTGTAGAAGATTCATAATAAGCTACAAGCCATAACATGTCTTAAACCTCTTGAAAAGCTTAGAATTACCTTTTATTTTTAAACAGGCCTTTAACAAGTACAAAAGGGAAGGATTTTGTCTCCAGAATGTTGACAAGGCACCTCTTGCAAAGAGAAGGAAAATGAAAAAAACAAGTACAAGCACAGAGACACGTAGCAGCTCCAGTGAAAGTTCACATTCTTCTTCCTCTCATTCTCATGGTAAAACTACACCTACAAAGACACTGCAGCCAACAAACCCTACAGACAGCAATAACCCAGAAACCATCTTCCAGTTCTCTGACTGAAAAGCAGAGAATATCCTGTCTTGAAGATTTAAGTGGTTATAAACTTGGTAGTACCTATATTGTCTTTTCCCACCCGTCCTCCCTGTGGCTTAAAGACTACAGGAATGTCTGTCGCTTTAAAAATGTATTTCAATCATACCTTTTTAGCTTTGTATTTCAATACATTTCTTTTTAGCATTAAGTTTGGTATCACTGGATATGGTATAATACTATTATACAACCAACATTGCATTCTCTTAGGGCTAAATTACTAGTATGCAGTGAAGCTCGAGGTAAGGAGCTATGCTGCTCGTGGTACAGCTTGGAGGAAGACTGTTTCTCAGTGTCAGAATCTTCCTCCCAGTTTCTTCCCCACTGTTCAAAGAAAGGAAAGCTCCGTAACACACACAGAACTCTTGGATCTTCTGCTTTTACGCAGCTCTGTGAAGAATGTCAATAGAACTTGATTCTTCATGCATGCAAAGAATCATTGGTACAATGCACCAAAGCAGTATAGTACTTCAAGGCCTTTTAAAATTGTGATTACATTCTATCCCATTTATTTGAATTTTAAGAGCAAAATGAAGTGTTATGGAACTGTTAGGTGGTTTTAAAAGGTAACTCCTTATATCTTGTTCTAAACAACTGGGAGTATAAGTCTTAGGGGTTTTTTTATTTATTTAATTTTTAAAAAAACGTCTAGGGTAAAAGATGTCTGATAGGGCGAGGTGTCTAGTACTGTGATACAACAATTTTTATTTCTACTTTTTGAAGTTATTAACTTTTAAAATGTTTTACAGATTCTAAAATGTAATGCTATAAGAGAAAGTGAAATTTCATATTGAATGCTTTGGAAAATGGTCACATGTTAAAATATCTATTTCAAGAACTAATTATAATTTATATTTCTTTTTATATTTACACAATAACTTTAAAATACTAAGATTTTTTTAAAGATGCAAAACCTCCAGTTTCAACATTTGTTATTATAGGGTCCATACAAAATGTATACCAAGTATTTGAATTTTGCATTGTGCAAATATGGCAGTTTAACAGTGACTGTAAAATATTAGAATATATGTTTTCTTTTTTGCACTTTATAACATCAAACGGATATGTTTTGTAATAAAGTGCACTCAGATCTCTCTTCCTACAAGGTGCTGAGCACTGTTTTACTGGGTTGAATGACCTGAAACCCACCATATTTGGTGGTTGTGGTCATTGAGAAGGAGAATTCTGTACTTTGCAGGAGTGAATCCCTGTATATTACCCACTGTTTTCATTCCTTACTTTAAACTGCGAAGCTCTTTCTATCTTGCTTTTACATTGTATATAACAAATACTAGACCTGGGCACCTTGTGTAGTGTAGATGTTAACAACTTATGCACTGGGAATACTAAAGGGAAATTATATTGAACACTGTGCTTCACAACTTGTTCACTGTGGTGTTCTACAGTGAAGTATTTCCTACTGTGATAGTATAGTATGTACATAACTTTGGAATCATAAATGTGACTTACAGAAACATCAGCATAAACTTTTAGATCAGTGTATTTTATAAATTTGTGGAGAGCTCTTTTATTGCTCGTATTCTCAATGACTAGGGGTAACTTAAGTGCAAAAATGACTCCAGTTTTGCAAATGCTTACCATGTGTAAGTTTCCACTGAAGTCCGAGAGACTCCTTGTGTAAAGTTAATCATATGCCTAAATTTGTGTGAGGGAAGACCAATTGACCAGGGGATTTTGTTAACAGCTTGCTCTATCTTAAAGTAACCTTAATCCAAACCCTATGCAAAAAAGGTTATAGGAATTGTTTATATCAGTGGTTTTATTTATAGAATTATATCAGATATCAGTATTGACAAATACAATACACCCATGTTTACAGGGATTGTGTGTATCAAAACAAGGCTCTGAAGCCCAACATGTTTGTTCTGTGTTCCTTTAATATTAAATAATGGCATTCTAAGGTTTTGGAATTGCTCATGTGAAATAGTTTACTACTTTCTTGATGTGAATGTCAACAGTAATTGCAGCATTAATTTCAGGTTGATGTGAATATTGAGATTTGCACTGTTTATGTAGAAATAGTATATTTAAAGATCAGTATATGTGCTAATAACACAACCAATTTTAAGTGGCCGATGTTAAAATATTGAAAAATAATTGTCAATGTAATATATTCAGGTTTGCTTTCTGAATGCTCTCTTTGGAAGTAATCTCAATAGTGAACATGGCTCATTTGTAAAAGAATACTTTCCCTCTCCCCAATAAACTTGCTGTAAATACAATAAACAATCCACCATTAATACTTGTTACGCAGATAGTACAAGTGAACTGGGAGGTTGGAGAACAGGTTGCTTGTAAAGTTTGCGTTTTGAGGAGTTCTTGGAATTTGTTGTCTTCAGGGTGAGGACAACAAAAAGCAGTTTTCTGTTTGATTTCATTTAAGTGTAAGAAACTTGGATACCAGGTAGATTTGGATTATTGTGACTCAGCTGAAATAACTTCTTAAAGTTAGAAACACAGTACAGTTGTGTCCCTGTTGGGAAATTTAAACTGTTGCTTGACAGACTGATGAAACAAAAAGAATGCTTGCACAAGATACTAAATGCTAGAGATAATGGCTGTATTGTCAAAGTTTTTTTCACACAGGTTTTGAGAGACTGTTGTGAGACTAAAATTATTAGAATACATCACTTATATCAAGGACAACTTTTATAGATGAATATTTCTCTGTCCTCTGTGTGCTCTAACAGTAGTTATGAAATAAAAATTTAAAAACAGGGTAATTCTTTTTGGCAGGGGTAAGTACATTTAGGTGTCACCTTGCATTTGCTTTGAACCAGTTACCTGGGGTAGCTGAAATGTTTATCACCTCTCACTTTCTGCTGCCTCCAGGTAACAGAGCTCTTGAGGAGGTGTGTTTGACACTAAGCTGTCTGAATTTTTAGATTAGCATCTTTACATAAACAAGTGCTGATCTTCATTTACATTGATAAAACTAGGTTGCAACCTAGACTCTCAAGAGCAGGTTCACTTCTTGTTCAGATGTTCAGTTACTCTTGGCAGAATGATGTTGTCTCAGCTTAATCTGTTGCCTAGCCTGGCACTCTAGGCCATATAAAGACCATGGGCCAAATTTTTCATGCTCGTACCACTATTTCAAATCTGAAGTGTACAAGCCAATCTTCGTTAGTACTATAAATACTTCATATTGCCTTGGTAAAGAGGTGTTAGACTGTAAATTATGTTTATACTCAGATTAAGTTTCCTTCACTCACAGTGCTGCTATGCATCAAGCAACTTTAATGTCTAGTAATGATATCTCTACTGTCAGAAATGTAATGCAGTCAGCAGTATTGTGGGCAGATTTGTTTGACAAACCAAATTTCTTATCAGTAAAGATTTAAATAACTAGTGTGTTTATTAATCTAATCTTTAAAGTACTCAATATTCTGTAAACCTATTTATTTGTAATACTTTTAGAAACAGAAATATTTGTAATTAAGAGGTAATTCTGTTAAAGGATTTAGAGGAGTACAAAGGAAGTACCATGACTTACCGTTCCTCTGGCTTAGTAAAATTTCTACACTTTTATATAAGGAAAAGCAGCTGAAGTATTTGCTGTTTCTTAATAGAAGGGTCAGTGCATTTGGGATATGCATTGTTTACTGCTACCAAAAAAACTTTATTAAAATGCTTTATTATAAACAGTTTGGGTGAGGGGGTAACACAAAAATACAGTATTTAATCAGAATGGATTGAGGCTTCAAGTTGGCATTGCTGACGTATGTATTGTCTCAGCCTTTTTGAACAAGATAACGCTATCTGCACAGCTGTGTTCCCTAGCACTCATCCAGGAACAGAATAATTCTTGGCAGAAAGTATTCACAAAATGATGACGTATGTTTATTTGTTGTGATGAAGTGTTGCACAAGTGTCTTACGTTTTTAATATGTGCATGTATTACATGCATGTGTGTAGATACATGTTGTATTGCACGTCAAGGCCTCAATTTAAAGTAATAATGCCTTGTTTATGAGAACCTGTACTTAAAAATGAGTTCTCCACTCACACAGATTCAGAGGACCAGACAAGGGGCTACCACAGAAGAGGAAGAATGTTATGGGAAGTCAGAGATGAGAGGCTACTGGAAAAGATGTTTTCAGGGATAAATTTCTCCTCTTGCTGTCTCCATGTGCATGTAATATTCACTGACACTGAATTGCAAGCTTTCTTGCTGGTTACCCAGCATAAATGCATTTCGTAACTCTGCAGGTCTATGACTATGGGTGTCTGTGCCTATACACGTGTGTATCTTTATATGACATTTTGGTCTTCAGTTGGAATTTTTAGTAATTTCTCAAGTATCATTCCAGGTGTTTTTTCCCAAGTTGGTCATCTTCATTCTTTTCCCCCATATATGACAGTCTTTCTCAGCACTGATTTTTGCATTTTGAAACATGACATTGCCTTCCTTCAGTTGAGATAGTTGACTGAATATTCTGGATTGAGAGAACAGGAAATAACGTGGCCATTTCTGCTGTAAAGAGGTAAAAGTACCTTGATCTTTGTCTACCTGTGAGAAACACTTCTCAGTTTGCTCTTTTGACCCACAGGCCACTGGATGCTATAAAAAATAAGAAATGCAGAACTGTTGGCTACCTCTGGCCTGCCATCCCATATTTTTATATATCACTCATTGGATAGATTCTGGATGTTCAGAACACCTATGTAGAAAATAAAACTTGGGATGATTCCTGTAGTCTGCACTAGTAAATAAAGTGATGCGTTCAATTACATAGCCCAGCTGGAGCAGTCTTTGTTGTGCCCAGAAGCAGCAATAGCAGAGAAATGTAAGACATCTGCAATAATGTAAATTCGAAGAAAACCCATGTATTTTGGCAGCCTTCATGTTCTGTGTGATAGGGAAGTCTGCAGCTGCCTGGGAATCAGTGGTAAGTGTTTAGGTAGGTGAGATGGTATGAGCTGGTCTGACAGCTTAGTGTCACCCACAGGGCCATTCCTGATCCTTTCTTCTGGCCACATGCTCTACCCTTTTTTTGGTTCTAGTGTTTGTATCACTTCTCAGCCAGCAGACAGGGAAATAAAAGTGTTATACTAACTTGGTTAAGGTATTTTGGTTAACACTGGATTAATTGATTTGATAGTTAATCCAAAGTAAAAGTAGTAATGAAGCATTGTAAAACCTAATACACTTTAATGCTATGATTTTTGAAAACTAATACTTTATTCAGAGGTAGAAAGGAATTCATACTGTTCACACATAAAATCGCTTTTTAAAATTGGCAACCAATCTGGCTGTATTCACAAAATTCATGCAGAAGTCTGCTAACTTCCTTTGAAATGCCAACAATAAAGCAGAGAAAAACAGAACTCTCTAATTGCTCAGAAACCTATCACAGATGAAACTGCAAACTGATTGCAAACTTCCTACATTTTTCTTAATACAAAGATAATTTTTCTTTGTCAACAAATCAAGCTTCAGATCTTAAAATTGGCATCTCATTTATGTTCATCTGATTTTCCTTGTGTTCTTTTTGAAATATGTAGTTGTCTTAGTATGATTGTGACCAAAGGTTTATTTTCATAAGCAAGAGAAAATCTGAGGATTTAGGCTAAGGCCTTTTGAATAACCAAAAGAAGTCTGCTGGGAAAGGTAATCACTGTCTTTAGCTAGTTTAGTTCAAAATATACATATATATTACTGATATTCACTGATAGAACTACATAGAACCAAGTACATGTTGTATCAGTTATGGGTGTGATTTTGTGTGACACATTCAGTTATGCTAAAAAAGCTTTTAAGTGTAAACTAGTCTTTGGAATTACAGTGAAGTGAGAAGAAAGGAGGGGAAATTGTATTTAAAGATGATGCAAAGAGGGGACAGTGCTCAAGGTTTGTCTCCAAGCTACGCTGACAGAGGTGACTAGGTGATGGTATCATTGTATTGTGTGTAGAAGCTTACTCATAATGGTATGTATCCTTTTTTCCTTTAAAATCAATATGCAGTGGAGAATAGAAAGTATTTAATTCACAAAAGCAGCAAGTACCTCAAAGCTTTTCTCAGATGTCTCCTTAATGAGTTCTCATCCTTTAAATATATAGCTCAGCAGTACGTAATAGTCACTCTGTTGAAGCTATGCCTGCTTCAGGGAACAGGATCCCACTGTCTGGTGATGTGTTGTTCGTTGTACAGTGATTGTACAAATTGGAACTCGAGGTGCTATATCCCTGCTGCTTTTAAGTACAAGTGTTAGTATTATTCTACTTCATATGTATCGCCATGTCAGTCCATCTGTATGTAGCCCTGGCAGGTCACTTAGTTCAATTTTAAAGCTGTCAGATTAAAAGGAAAACTTGAGATCTACTTGAACAGCAAAGTGAGAGCAGGCCTTTAATCTTAGCCTGCATCTGGATTACAAAAATGAGTAAAAGCTTGGCGTTGGCTTTCAACCCTGACAGTCTTAAGATGCTACTGCAGCAAATTTTGATGCTTACAGATACCCTTAATATACTGATCTCTTTTACCTGTAGAGAAAGAAACCTGCAAAATTATTTCCTGTCAGAAAAAGCTCTTTTGCTAGAGTCCCAGTAGAAGAGATCATCCGTAATTTCTACCTTTACCTCTGAAGCTGTAAAGGCAAGAAATGAATTGGTGACAGATTCTGACAGTTGGTTATAAAGGAGCAGGCTGTGTTAATTTGCAGTAAGTAGAACAGGGTGTGCTATTTCTTTCATCAGTGTGGGCAGGGAGGGGGGAAAGGGGAAGGA